CGGGAGGCTGGTTGGGTGAACCATGTGAGTTGATTAGTGACGAACAGAGTATCTGTTTCATTAACAAGTAATGAAATTTCTAAAGATCCCTGGTCATTGCCATGAGCCAGTATAAACATATGGTAACCTTCAAACTATCAATATTTGAGGAAACAGTGGGTGAAAGCCAATGTGGCTGTGCTCAGGGCTGTGCTGCCTGAAGACAGTATGTTTAAAATGCTTCTGTCAGGTTATGTAAAGTGTAGTGATGGTGGTGCTGGTGCAGGAAAAATGGTGTTCAGGAAAAAGGAATTGAGATTTGGCCCAACACCTCTGTCCATCTGACTCCCCCATGCCTGCTTGCCAGGAGGCAGAGACCTGGGGCCTCAGTTGTCAAGAAATTCCCCCACTTACACATCCTTGACAGATCAAGAGGGTCTCAGCATAAAGCAATTACAGCAAACTGGAAGAAAAACCCTGACAGTGAGTCAACAACAGTTGGGAGTGGGGGTGGAGGAAATCCAAGTTATAAAAGTGAAGCAAGGGGGTGGCATGGGGTTGCCTGCAGCTATTACAAATAGCAAATGATGATAGGACTAGAAAGCTGTTTTGGGTACTAATGTGACTGGGTTTGAATACTTGGAATAACCCTAAGCGAGTGTCTCAGAATGGTTTCTCAAGACCCTGCTCTGTAAATATAACTTAAAACTGCTCAGAGGAACCTCCTAGTTGACTCTGAAAACTGTTGATGTTCTTCCATGTCTTTATTGCAGTAAACATCTTTACACAAGGCCAGGTTTTATGTTTACAACAGTACTGCACAAAAAACTTCTTTTCATAATCCCGTGGCTAAATTCCCAATTCAACAAAACAGTTATACTGTGAAGCATTTGGCCAAGTCTCAACTTAAACTGGACTGGAAGGGCATGAGTCCAAAGCAGTTAAGAAGTCCATCATGCATTTGGGCTCAGGGGACTGAATGTCTCATTGATGGATTGATTGATTATTGTATGACTGATAAACCAAAAATATGGCTGAGCTGAGTCCATGCTTCCCTGTTGAATCATGAAGGATTATTCAGTCTGCCTTTCTTTGAATGCACTTCATCTGCTGTAGTGTGAAAAAAGATTTATTAACTGGCTTCATGGCAAAAGCCACACCTCGATTACTCATGGCGGGGACCCAATTAAAGAGAAGTTGATTAGTAGGTACATTTATGAGTCCCTCCCAACTTGAGATATGCTGCAATTGCAGCCACAGTAGTCTAAGTTCTATAGTGATGAAGAAACCATCCTAGAAGGGAGGTACATGCACTGCATATTACATATGATGAAACCAGAGAATGTTCGAATTCTTCCTATTTCTGTTGAAACTGCCAAAGCTTTTGTCTGTGAGACATGTAACGAAAACACATTTCTTAAATTTCCTTTGTCTGTGTTACCTTGAAAGTCTAGCATCACTAATGACAAACAGAAGCAAAATGGTATTTGCATTAGTAAGAGATTTAATTATATTTTTTCTAATGTCTGAAGACAATATCTTAAATTACTTTGTCACGGGGGGCTTTTTTCCCCTCATGTCTCTTTGCTGTCTTTTTTTCTACAAGACTTGCCTTGATAAACTGGTACATTTGCTGTTTGGAAGCCCATTGACTCCTGCTGCTCATTCTCCTGACATAAAATTGAAAGAGAGATTTCACTTTAGTGTGATAAACATCAGGCATGTCCTCTCTCACCAGCTTTCCCCCACTTCAGCTCTGTTGATGTACATCTCAGTAGTTACCTTAATTTAGAGCATGAGAGAAACTTTTGAAACTACAGATTAAAATCTGAACTTGCTTGACTTGTCCATTCCTTCTGAATAGCTGTTTTCAGTTGCATATAGTTTTCAGCAAGGTCATTTCAGTTCAGGCTTTCTGAAAACCAGCAAAAACTCTGAAAGTCTGGCAGTACAGACTCTGAAAGTCTGTAGCAGTCAAAGACAGCATTGTTGCTTCAATTAAAAAAGCACAGACCCCAGTGGCCTTTACCAATGACTTCTGCGTCCTGTTCTTGGGGTACCCATGGAATGGCACTATAAATCAAAAGGTGACTGCACTTTGTTACTGCTACAGAACCTACCAGGCAAAATTTTCAGTGAAAGACTTCATGTAAGCATTGCTGTTCTTTATCTGTGAAGCTATGACAGTAGCTTTGCTGGGAAGTCTCTAATAGTGGTTTGTCAGCTAGAGCTGGTCAGACTGCAAGAGCTGGGTAAGTATATGTATATTCTCATCTGCATTTTATTTTGATCATGGTAGTAGCTGCAACAGAAGCTGTATCAATGATAGTTGCAACTGCATTCCAGTGGCAACAATTTGGCACTCAGATAAAAAGGTCACTTGGGCCAGCAAACCTGAGAGAGTTGTGTAGGTATTTGTAGCAGAGTTACATCCAGTCTAATAAAGTATACACGTCCAGGACTTTCCCTGGATACTGAGGCCAACTGGCATGGAGTGGCCTAATTCTGTGACTGTAAATACTGCTGGACGACAAAACAGCATGGTTTGTACAGTCTGCCTATTGGGAACACTTCCAGCAATGCCTTCATCACTGAACCAGGTGTAGGGATGGTTGGTGAGTACCTCAGTGCAGTTTGCAAGCAAGGTGTACATAGGAATGTCCTCCCCTCAGGTCAGAAAGATCCTGCCTGTGTCCCACTTACCTCATCACAACTGACCTGCATGGTCTGATTATGGAACCTTTGCAGAGGGCTACTGATGATTCCACTGCAGACTTGAAAACAGTGCTCTCAAATGTTTGTGATTATTGAATTACTGCTGTTTCTTGAGGTGAAAAATCTGTGCTCATTTTGAGAAATGATACACTGTGAATTGTTTTCTCAGCTTAATTAAAATTTTAAAACAAGAAAGAAAAAGCATGATGTGATGTAACTGACATAAATGCATACTGAGAACTGAATGGTGTTTCCCAAAATATATCGTGCTTGAACGAAGAACAAAGAGTAGGGAGGATGCTAGGAACCAGGCTCTGGAATATCTTGCTTTCTTCTGCAGTTGGCGTTATTCCCCCTTTGTGTGACAAAACCTCCTGTCTGTATGAGCTAGCAAATGAGAGATCCACTCCCCCTGCCATCTGCTCTCCTGCGTGAATAATTAGGAGGAGGAAACAGGACCAGCTCGGGAAAAGAGGGAAACAGAGAGCAGGCTAATGTGGGGAGAAAAATATCCCATCAAAACTAGCAGCAGGTTGGGAGGAGGGAGAAGGGGGGAAATGGATTTCCAGCCTTAGGCAAGTGCAGCCTGCAGTGAATGATGCTGTTCACAAAACAACCTGCAGTGCTTTGAGTGGGAGAGCTGCGAGGGAAGGGAGCAGCATTTCAGTTCCAGGAAACGCTGTCCTCACAAACACGCTTGGGTGAGCACTGCCGAGGATGCTGGAGTTCTTAAGGCTGTCTCTGCAGCTTGTGATTTGTGTTGTGTCATCATTAAGATGTTCTGCACTGCCCAAGCAGCAGGAGAGGAGATGTGATCACCTTCAGAGCAAACCTGCTCCCTGTTTGTATCTTCTGAGTATCTCAGTCTTGCATTCAGTTGATCCATTTCTTTTTGCTGTTAACAGTCTCATGTTGTCCTTTATTTCTCAGAGCAAGAGATTTGTACTCCACGTTACCATGTGGGATATCCAGAAACAAGTGCCAAAGACATCCTTCACAACATGACTCTATCTAATGTTGACTCTTCATACAGAGGGCAATGTTAGTAGCATTGCAGCACATGAGAGCTTCCACCTGTAGCTCTGGTTTATGTTCTGTGGGTTCACAATCTTTATCACCCACAACTCTTAATGTAAAGCCGTGGTTCTTTTTAGGAAATCTAGAAGCACAGACATACAAGTAAGAACACAAATATTCATCTCGTGTGTCCAGTGAAAAGATTTGCAGACCACCTTACAGGTAACTAAAGCAGTCAGTCGCTATCCCAACACTCAGTATTGTGGCTTTTTCCCAGTGTACCTTTAAATGAAAATGTGAAAAGTAGCACTGAGTGACTTCTTCCTGATCATCAGCCAGGACAGAGCACCAGTACAGCTACAAAGACTTGTGACTGCCATTGTATGCAGTACATCATATGCAAAGTACATACCATGCAATACTGTTTTCTGGTCTCAGAACTGTGGCAACAGGCAGTAAATGCAAGACTGAAAATGTTGAGCTCTGGGTAAGATTGTTGTTATCCCCTGTTTAAGTGGAGACTTTTGATTTAATTGGAGATAACAGTGATGAACACTGGGATGCTTGGATGTGTAGGATGCAGTTCTCTGCTGCTTTGCCTCTGGGAGGTATTCCAATATGCACTGCAAGAGAAGAACCTCAACTCCACTTGTGCATACACAAGCATACAAATGCTTGTATTCTCTTTTCATTCTGTAGTAATGACATTTTCACCACTTCCTTCGGTTGTGTACCTTCTGTATTTAAACACACATACCTCCTGCTCACACATGCACACACATTTTTGCAACATACCATTTGAAAACCTTGTTTCAGAAGGCAGGGTTTCCTTGGGTTTTTGTGTATTTTTTTAATTCACTCCCCTTTATGGCAAGTCTCCAACTGCCTTTTTGATGTGTGATATACCTGTCTCAGAACAAGATGTGCAATTCTATATACCTATCCACTCACTCTTGTTAGCCATGGTTATTCAACTTTGCTTTTGCTCCCTTTGTATAAGTTTGGAATAGGTTTCTTTATCAAAAGGAAAGTCTTCTAGAAGTTCCCTCAATATAATTCCTTTCTTCTGCAATAACAAACTGCAGCTGCATTTCTTACATTTTTGTTTGGTACTAATGGACCCATTTTGGCCACTACCAAAGCAGAATGTGCATATTTTATCTTCTCTCACCTTTACCTCACCCTTGTGGTTTCTGTTGATTGTTTGAACTTTTATTTCATGCAGTAATTAATGTGTTGTAATAAATTAATTCTTGGCTTTCTTTCTTCCTTCATTAATGCAGGAAATGCTTTGTAGTTCAAAGGGGTTATGTGTCTGCCAGATTTCACACAACTCATTAAAAAGGAACTTTAAATACTGCAAACAAATCCACCCTCAACTCAAACATGGAAGGGAATATGGGAAAGCATAGTGATTCTACTTGCATATGAATCTCTCCCTTTTGCACAGGTAAGCTTATTTTTTCCTAACTGACATTCCTGATACTTGACTTTTTCTTTATTTCTAACTTGCAATTTACGTATTAGAACCAGAGAGCTTCAATTCAGAGTGAGGGCTGCTCTGCCCTCACTTTCATAATTTCTAAAAAAAAAAAAAGAAAGAGAAAAAAGGTATTGTATTTTTTTCTCTCTTCTTTGTTGAAGCAGAAGATGTTTTGTTTTGGTTTTCTCCTTCTTAGAACTGGCAGCCCATAATCTGGGACAGTATCTATCTGTTTAGTGACCACAGTGAACTTCCTTGTATTGTAGTGGTTTGAAAGCCTGGAGGACTTAAAGACATGTCATAATTCATTAAAATGTAGAGGCTTCATCAACCCACAGTCGTTACTGTTGATCCTTTTAACTTTTGCTGCAGTAAAGAATCCTTGTGTGTTTTCCTTCTCTCTTTAATTAGAGCAGACAGAAGATTTCTCTGAGGTTCTGTGTCTGTTGAATTTCACACATTGCTTTATTTGAGTAAACAGACCCCACAAATATGTATGGAGAAGAAGGCCCAACACATATAAATTGTTGCAGCTCTTTTCTGAAAATATAAACCTCCCTGAGTGTTTTACTGGTAGTGCTTACCATGTAGTCGCACTGGCAGTATATTGCAAAGTGGTTTTAAACTTCTGCTCTAAGTCCTATGTGGAATAACAGAACAGGCAGTGATTGCCTGGCAACATACATAAAGAAAGGGCAGGTGCTATAGCTACAACATTTGGGGTTCTTGGTGTTGTATTTCCTTCTCTGTGGGGTCCCTTAGAACCTACTGACTGGAGAAGATAAAAGAAGCTTATGTGGAAAACAGCATTTGACTGAGATGTCTAAGGACATCTGGCCAAGAGTCCTGGGTCTGGAAGGTATAGAAATCTTGAATCTGTCCAGATACACTCAATCAAAAAACATAAGAAGCTGGAGAGAGAATTATATCTTAAATATAAATTTAAAACTCATGAATATGAAAAGACATACATCTTTTTGTCATTGTGTCATTTAGGCAGGAGGTCATTTAGGCAGCAGCAGAAGTAGAAACAGTTAAGAAACAGGGAAGAACTCATGGTAGAGACCTGTGTGAAGTCTGTCTGTGCTGTAGACAGGGAAGTGTCCTGTTCAGGAGGCGGGATTACTGTGTGGTTTTGCTTAAGTGTACTTGTGGGGTAGTACTGGTGAAAACCAGTGAAAATTTATGAGGTATCATTGCCCCTCACTTAAATGCTTTATAGACATAACATATAGCCCATTTTTTACTACTAAGGTTGTAGACAGTCTTAATCTGTGCCACAGTCCCTAAAGCCAGAGCTGCTGCCTTATGAGAACTTGGAATTGTACTTGCATGGCACAGAGCACCATGCTGTGGATACCAGGACTGGGGCTACAGCAGTGGCATCAGCTGGACCAGGAGCACCTGAGCTAAGGGGGCTGACCCTGCCACTCACACAACAAGGCAGCTGGAATAGTGTATAGACCTGAAGGTATTCTCACATGGAGCTGGGTGCTTCAAAGACATAGCCTAAGAAATGTTAGGGATTACTCTGATTTATGCAATCCCAGAAAAATTATCCCCAAAGAAGAACAGACTAGTTCCAAAATTACTGTGAAGGCACATTTATTTATAATACTCCGGAGGAGATACCAAAGGTACTGAGTGGAAATAGTGGTCAATGCCTGCCCTGGCTGTGCCATTTGGTCCTAGCAATTCTGTCAGGTGCTGTAGCATACATCCAGCTTTCTCAAATTCATTCCAGCCTTCTGCTGCTGTCTCCTTCTCTTTTAACATGCTTAGAGAAAAGCATTTATCCATCAGTGTTAAGGAACATGTTCGTATTTTGACCCTCTTTATCACTCAGTGAGTAATTCTAAATTAAAACATGACTTTTCTGTTAACATTTTATGTGGTTTAATTTTAAAGCCTTAAGAGTATTTCATTACTGTAGCCCTGCTAAGTGAGCTGTATTTAAATATGTTTCTTGCCCACTGCAGACTGCTATTTGAAACATTTCTCTAGGATGTTTGCATTCATGAAAGAATTTATTCCCTGACCTTTCTTCTGCAGACTTCAACCACTTCAAGCAAGAGAAACCTGCATGGCTATACCAGATTCCTTCCACATCACCTGCCTGCCACTCTACTTCACAATTTCCCCCCCTATCCCCTTGTATACTCCCTCCTCATTCCTCTTCCCTCAGCCTGTCCTTTGCAATGCCCTGTGTTTTGTGATAATGTCAAATATGCCTCTGTCCAGAGCCCAGCTAGGCCACACTGGCTAATGTTGCTGCAGAAGAGTATGTAGCTGAAGTCTTTGTGTCATGCAGAAAAATGTTTCCATCCATCCTGCCAATCCATTTCTTTCAAGGAAATAATTTCATACCGCACTTACTTATTTTAAGACCTTCCTCTCTACGGCCAGTAAAAGGATAGAAAATTTTAAAAAACAGCAAGGTTTAGTTGCCCGTATTCATAATCCCATCCATACCTTTCTCATAGTATTTTTAACCTTGATGTTAAAAAGCTGAAATGAACCTTAATCAGAACATCTGTTTTGTTTTCTAATACATTTAAAAGTTTTTTTAAAGGAGAAAATGAGCAATTCAGAAAAAAAATTCCTAAATCCCAGTTTCTTTTTTTTAATAACTGTAACTTCAATTTTCTACTTCCAAAACCGCAGAAGTATTATTGAGATTTTGTAACAGAGTACTGCTTTAGACTTCAAACCTCAGCAAAAAAGACAGCAAGCCAAAATGTGAGCTTGTATGTGCCAGGAAAAAAAGCAAAGCAAAGTAAACCAACAAAAACAACAACAACAACAAAAAATAACTACCTGTATTGCACTGCTAGAGAACTGAAGGAGAAACCTCCTCTTATGCTGATATGAGGGATAAACTTGAAGGCTGGATGCAGTTGTTTATGAAAAGGCTCAAACAAGAACTGTAGGACCCAGGGTAGGACCTTTGCAGTTGTGAAATTATGACATTGCTAGTAAAACTCAACCTTGGTTGAGGTGTATGGGGGGAAGAAAAAGCACTTTTCCTTTCCACTGGAGCAATGTGTGGGTCTAGTTATGACTAGGTCACTTAGTAATAATTAATTTTCTGTGGGCTGTACAGAAATAGCAAGTGGCTACTCTGAAGGTCAGGGAGGGAAGAAGAGTTCTTGGGAAAACTGTGAAAATTTCCAAGATATTTGGGATATAGAGGTAAGAAGATATGGTCCTAAACCATGACTTCAGAGTCTGCAGTGAATGCTGTTAGGTTGAATACCCTCAGGGTACAGCCTTTATTGTTTTAGGCAGAACAATAGGTAATAGAAATGGAAAACTTTGCTTAGAAAAGATGGCTTTCCTGCCATGATATGTGGAGGTGGGGGATAAACCAGATTTTGTTGTGTCATAATATGTCTCAAAAATGTGCCTGAAATACTGAAAAGCATTGAGAATTCAGTGTGATTACAGAAAACAAAAAGTAATGTTAAAGTTTCTGAAAGAGTCTCTTTTCTTCTCTTCCTTGTTAGATTCAGCCCTAGACAAGATAAGACTTTGCAAATGAAACTTGTTTTGAAAGTAAAGTCATGGGTATGTCTAATCTTCCAGGTATTTTTTTACCTGACTTTATACATGTGTTTAGTTGATGCCACCATTTTTTAACCTAAATTGTATTTTGAATTACTGATGATGTAATTTCAGGGCGTAGGTATTCTTTTTTGCAGCTCAAACCATCAGAGCCCAGTGGGGGTTTATTCATATACTTGAGGTTTATCCCTCAGTCATAAACCTTGTTATAAACCTTCTAGCTAGGAAGATAGATAGACCTGGGAGAATGAGACAGCCCCTCCCCACACCAAGGGGCTGCATGGAATCCAGTACAGGGCTTTCCATTTCACTGTCTAGTGTCTGATTTCACTTACTCCTCATCCAAAAGTCCCTGAGCTTTTATAAGCAAGCACATTTCTTGTCAAAAATGTTGCGTTAACCCCACGGGACACAGTGGTAAGTCAGTGCTGTAAAGGTGGTCAGTTAGAGCAGTGATCCTCAGAGACACTGCAACAACCCTATGGGGTGTCTGGGATTGGGAAATCTCCTGCTGTACAAGCTGATAACTCCTATCTTGAGCCCTTTAGACTATTGATCTGAGGGATTGATGGAGAGCAACTGAGCCACAGAAAACAATCAGAAGCAAGATTGGAGTCTCTGAAAGCATTTATTTTGGTTATTGTGGGTATACATCACTTGCCCCACAACCCGTGTTCATGCAAAGCAATGTTTCACAGTGAGATGTTGCCTCTAAAGCTAAGGCCACTTTGCCCTTGAGCATTTCCTAGGAAAAAAAAAAACTGAAATGAACCTATGCAGTGTCTATAAGGTGGTTTCCTCCAGCATGCTCTCTGGTCCTTTTTGTAGTTGCTTGGCAACCAGGGGAGGGAGGAGGAGGAGGAGGCGGAGAAGAATGTGAGAGCATGGAGGCATCTGAAGAAGCAGATTTTCTGTAGCAAGCCGATTGGCCAAATCAGCTCTTGATTCTCCTGAGCTACTCAATCGCAATAGGTCATCTGCATTGGCCCTTTTTAGATGATTGTCTGCCAAAGGTAAGAATCATGGTTCTGCTTTAATTTTACATGAGTTTCACTCTAAAATGAATCCTTCAGCAGTGACAGAACCATTCTTCTCCAGACAGAATAAGTCAGGTAAGAAAAGAGATTTGATCAGTGCACAAAGCTGACCTGTGTTGTGTTAGCTACCCTGTGTGATTGACCAGTGCCCCTTGGCTTAAAGGAAGCCAAAAAAAGTTCAGCTCAGCTGTCCCTTCTGAACATGATGTTTAGCCTCAGATTTTGTACACAATGTTTTCCCCAATTGTCAAACGGCTAGAAACTCTGGAAGATGATGTAGGTTGTTCTAATTCAAGAAAGGAAAGAAACAAAAATGTGGAAGTTTCCATCTACAGTTAAATATGTACAGTGTAGGATTTGTTGTTTGGATGAAAATAGTCTTAGAGGCAACGGGGATGTGAGAGAAAGAAGTCAAAGCTGTGCTTTGTGAGTTACAAACTACCAAAATGAATCTCACTTTCTGATGAGCATCTTGGCCATTGCTCATCCATTCAGCTTATGGCCCAATGTTGCAGGAGTCTCTGTACAGTAAAATAACTTCTGTAGGAGATATAACAATAGTCTCTCTTCTAAATAGCTGATAAAATCTTGGTGCCATTACTCTCTGCCCTGGGGAGGACCCAGAGGTGAGTATCCTGTTTGCTTTGTTCAGGTTTGGGCCCTCTATTTCCTGCATCCTAAATCGGTACTGTAACCATTGGGATATTGCCTATGCTGACATGGACTTACGGTAGGTCTCTCTTTTTCTAACCTTTGGGAGGAGGAAACCTGTCCTATTGATAAACAAGAGCACTATTTTTGCCTTGGAAACTTCCAGAGCCTTGAAACAGTGCCATGCAAAATATGGCATGGGATCTGGTGAAAAAGTAATGTACTTGTATTTTAAAAGTTCATTGCTATTACATAGGTTGTAATAGCACGCAAGGAGCCTCGTGGGAAAAAATGATATTTGCATTTTCTTCTGTTAGAATGGCATAGTGGGATAAAACAAGGCTTCTTAAGGCCTCATATTTCTATTGTGTTTGAGATAGCTCAAAGTCACTGCAACGAACAAACTAATTATAGAAAAGTGTTACTGAACTGTAGAATCATAGAGTCATTTGGGTTGGAAAAGACCTCTAAGATTGATTTCAAACATTAACCTAACACTGCCAAGTCTATCACTAGAATATATCCCCAAGCACCATATACACATTTCTTGTAAGTACCTCCAGGAAAGGTAACTTGATCACTTTCTTAGGCAACCTGTTCCAGTGCATGACAACCCTTCCAATGAAGAATTTTTTTTCCTAATATCCAATCTAAACCTCCCCTACCCCATTTTCTCCTGTCACTTGTTACATGTGAGAAGAGACCATACCCCTCCTTGCTACAACCTCCTTTTAAGTAACGGTAGAGCTATAAGGTCTTCCCTGAGCATTCTTTTCTCCAGGATAAACAACCCCAGCTCCCTCAGCCACTCCTCACTTTTACTTACTGAAGTAAGTAAAGAATGCCAGTAGAAAAAAAAATGTTTTTCTTTCCCTGGGTTAGGATATGATAGCTAGAAGGTCTTGAAAAGTTTATTTAAATAAGTCGCTATTGTTGAAGAATTAAAAATTATTTTAATTAAGAACATGTTTGGGACACAAAAACATGTTTTCAGTGGGATGGTAATATGCTGTTCATGGAGACCACCACACACATATGCAGTAGCATTGAAGACTCAGGATAATGCCTCAATCTGACTAGGTAAAATGCAGCTTGTCCCAAATGCAGTCCACTTCAGAAAATAGCATCCCAGATACTTCTAAAGAGTTCATTCCTGTTCTGCTATGCATTGCTCTATTCTTCATCTCTCTATCACCCCTTTCTTTATTCCTCAGATTCCTCAGACTTATTTCTGTGGAACCTGACCCTTGAATGCCTCTCCTGCTGTTACGCCATCTCAGGAGCATGTTTGCCAAACTGACAGCTGTTAAAGAGGGTGTCATAATATGAAAAAACCAGCTCACTTCAATCTCTTGTCTCTGCCATGTATTGTGGGTCCAAAATAAGCCTACTTGGTTGTGTGCAGCCTAATCTACTCCTGCTGCTACAATGTGATTAGCTAACAAGTGTTTTTTGAAAGGCTCTGGCAAAATTGCAGGGAGGGGGCATGAAAAGAAATAATCAGTCTCATTTGCAAGTAGACAACAAATTAAAGCCTTGTTTTATGTTCAGTTACAATCAACCTGATGTTGGACACTATTAGCAACCTATAGATATGGTACTCAGACACAAGGAGAAAAACTACATCAAAAGATCAACATTTACAACTCAAGGTATTGAAACATTGCCACAACATGCCAAGTAAAGCAGACTGACAATCAATCTTGGGACTTAAAAGATGAACAGGACAACAGATATGAGAGTTTTAGTTATGAGACTACTTATATCTTGAAAATGCATAGTTTTTATTAGCATTCATTTCTTGAACTTTTGGATCCCTGTCATATGTACCCTTTTGCCTTGGCAAGTATCCTACTTGGAATACAACACTCACGACAATACAATCATTTATATCTCCTTAAGTTTCTCAATTGCTTCTTGTTTTCATTACTAACCACAGTTCCTCTCACTTGGGAATGCAGAGGGAGGGGGAGAAACTTTCACAGTTTATTCCATTTGCCTGGGTGCTTAATTTTCCCTAATTTTGGATATGCTCCCACTTATTGTTCCTGCTATCCAAAAGGGTTTTATGCTTTCATTTCAAAGGAGAACACCAAAGCTTCCACTGGCAATAAATTATCTGATCAAAAATAATTATGAGGAAGGAGAGATCTTCTATGAAATCTACAAAACTTTCTGGAATTTTTCCAAAGAAACATTCTTTGTTTTCAGCCAAAAATACCTCAGCTAATGCAATTGAGAACCAAAAGGCTTGACTGAGAAATTTCTATTAAAATAGGGATTTTCTTAGAAGGCTTTCAACAGAAAAGATGTTCAGCTAAAAAAAAATTAAATTACACAAAAAACCAGCTCTGATGCAAAATATTCAACAATCCTACCAAGGGTTTGATTCCTGCAGAAGAACTGTAGAAACCTGTCTTCCATTTGCTTGGTTTGAAAGCTTCTTCTGACACCACTGATCCCGCTTTTTGTGTTGCCATTTTGTTCTCTTATTTGCTTTAATTCATTTCTTGTGGTTGACAGAAGACTGCTCAGCTTATTCCAACTTCCAGAGGGTTTATATCAGCAGTGGCTAGGGCTCTGCTTCCTTCTCTCCCTCTACTCTGTGGAAATCGTCATTCATCTTTACTGTAGCACAGAGTCAGGATCTACCTCTCCATTCAGTGCCTGCCTACAGTGAAGCCCCTGCCACTTCTTCTGCCCTGCCTCCTGTGTGTTCATGTACTACTGCTGCCATCTCTGTGACTGCTCTGTGGACCTCTCAGCTCAGCAACTCTCACCAGAGTGAAATTCACGTTAGAGCTGGCAGAGCTGGTTTGTGCCTTCTTTATCCAAGCTTTACTCCTGATTATTAAAGCCTTTGTTAGGGAGGCTTTGATGCTAGGAATTAACTTGAAAGGGATTTGATAACCAAGGGCCATATTCATGATGTGAAGATCTCCACTGAAGAGCTCTCCCCCCTCCCCAGCATCTTCAGAATTTTGAGCAGATTCTCAAGTTGTCATGGCAACAGCCTAATTTGCTCTCTTTTTGTGGTTTAAGTAAGCATCATGTAAAAACTCCTCAATAAATGATGCTAAAACATCCTGAGCTTTGGTAGTGACATTGGGCAACTTGCCACACGGCTTAATTTAATTGCTCTGAAGCTATCACTAAGTGCATAATTCAGGGTTTCCTTTAAGACAAAAGCTCTTAAAAGTTTAGATGGCTGCAAGGGAAAGAGGAGGAGGAAAAGAGCAGCTGCCATTCTTCAAAAGTGAAGCATCTTCAGGAGCAAGAAGGCAGTTTTTTCCCTTTCTATGGCAAAGAAATACGTAACAAAGACAAAAACTTGGTCAAGGCTCTCACTTTTTCTCCCCTTAGCACCTTGAACTTGGTGAGAAAGGGAAAAGCATCCATTGTTCCTGTGCCCTATTCTCCCAGAGAAGGCAGCATGGCTCTATTCTATATTGGGGCTGAGTTATTTAGAGATTGAGCAATTTAGAAGGTGGCAATCCCTGTGCATTGTCCCAGCTTTCTACCAGTATTTCAATGTGAAGGCAGTGACTAAAGAAAGACATTGCCTTTAGGAAAACTTCTGATCCATCACCAGTGGTCTGCCTTTGTAGCTTTGCTGGTTCTTGGACTTGACTTCAACCTGGTGTCCCCACTGCCTCTAGAGGCAGATTCTGGCTACTCAGCCCACCAGACCTGGGAGATAAGAGTTGGTTTAGGAGCTGTTTGAAGGAGTTTGGGCTTTAGTGCAAATTTGAACCTCTCTTCATTACGATAGTAGGTGCATTGGCTCTACTGAGTAAATATTAGCACAGCAGAAGCAGAGGGCAAAGGGTGTTCTTGGACTCTAAGGGGCACAGGCTCCTATAAGGGAGGAAGAACAGCAGCTCATCCTGCTTATTTATTTTTTAGTTACAGTGGAATGATACAGTTGTTAGTCAATACTGTGCACACAGACATGTATTAGCAATAGCTCTCAATATTGCTGTGAATGGTCATTAAAAAGATTTGGCTTCTTGGTCTGTTTAGGGCTGGGATGGGTTGTCCCACTGAGCTCCTCCACTTCCAATATTGGTCCCATAACAGTAAAACTCTTCAGGCAAATGAAGTGGCCAGAGGCTTGACTTAGATAAAAGTGACCTTGTTAAGGGAATCTTCAATACTTTGTAACTCTTAAACCAAGCATCACCTGAGGAAAAAGAGCAGTGTTTATTTTGGGAAAACTAATTCTTAGGAAATATATGTGTGGGTACTTGTCACTACAGGTTTCTGGTCAGAAAAAAAGAAAAGCCATAATGGTTCAGTCATTTAGTCTGGAGGGAAATTGCTGCTTTGATGCATTTTTTTTGATGTGGGGATTCAAACTCCCACAGCAAGCATGTGAAATCACAGTCCCTGGGCAGTGCATCTATGAACCTTTCTCCTTCAGGAACCATGTGCTTGCATCCTGTGGGTGTCTGAACTGATGGACTGACAGCACACTTACTGAACAGAAGATATTGTGAGATACAAGGTAGACTCTGCCTTTTCCTTATGATCTGCTTGTCTCGTTACTCCTTTCTGCAAAACAGTTTCATTCTTTTCTCATAGATTGCATTCAGGGAACAGGTAAAGTGTTTGATGTGCTGCAGTATTGCTTTGCCTGGAGAGAAATCTCTGCATCCACTGAGATGGTAATGACCATTCACCAGGGAAATACTGTGTTGTGGGATGGGAATGGACGTACAACAATATAAAGGGAATGCCATGGCTAAGGGGGAGGAGGACAAGAAGGATGGAATGGGAAATACAAGTGGGTAATCTAAGGTCTCCTTTTCAGGAGTGATGGACAGATTCTGGTTTCTTTATCTGCCTCTATTTGATAAAATCCTGACAGTCGGGGTGAAGTCTGTGACACCAGAGCCTGCACACCCTTGTTGTTTTACTAAATTATTCATTCCTGTTCCTGTGATAATATAGTTATAAGGAGGAGCCTAATTGAATTTACTGTCTGGCTTTGGCCAATAGGGCGATAAGGATCCAGCAGAATGGGATGACGGTGAATCCTGCTGGTGTGCTGTGAATGTGAAGCAGGAGGGACTGGCAGCTTGTGTGCAGGAGGGAAAGCGGATCGGTCCAGAGCCCCTGGATTAGCAGAATAAGGAAAGGTAAGGCTGGTTTTGTTCATAGGAAAGCACTCTGCAGGCAATTTTTTCCTGTAAGGTTTGGAGGGAACAGGAATGCGTGTGGTGGCACTTGCTTAGTGTGTGTAGCGTGTGCCTTTGTCTTTATGTGTGCTGCAGGGGTATATAACATTGCATGTTCACTGTGAGTGTCTGTACTGAGATGCCTGGGGTTTATGTGGATCCAGCAGCAATGTATGAAGCCTAAGCAGTATAAATGGAATGAGAGGAGACAAAAGGGAGAAATCACCTCATGAGTAGAACAGGGAAAAACGTAGTGCTTTCTGGTTTGATTGGAAATGAAGATGCCGAGGCTCTTAGTAAGCTGTTTGCAAACAAAACAGAGCAAGTGTGTGTGCATCTGTCTGTGTATGTATAGGATCTGCAGTGAGATGTTAAAATGGGAAAGAGGAAGTCAGACTGGAGCATTAGTCATCACAGGTGGAGATAAATTGCAGGCAATCTGTGTAATCAGATTCTCTAACATGGAGAGTGCAAGTGAGTACAAAAGTGGATTAATCCTATCTGCTGCACCAACTACACCTGGAAAGCAAAGGGGGGTGGATTTGTGGTGGAATTGGGACAGGTTATCTGACTGGTTAGAGAAATCGATGCTCAAACTGTCCTGTGTGCCTGCTGCTAGAGTGATAGTTGTTTCCACAGACTTGCTATTTCCCATTTAATGATGAAAAGAAAAGGTGAGCATCTCTGAGGATAAGGTTAGAGCCCACTAATTAATGTTATCTGGAAGAAAAGGACCACATCAAGCAAATTAGCCTCTGCCCTTTCTTTTGGTTCACCACCTCTGCTCTGATAACAAGTGACTGTTGAACAGACAGGGCAGGTGGGGGAAGATGAATTACAAATGTGGCAAGTGGCATTAAGCCATGTAGACAGGGAATGCTGTTTGAAGGGATGATGTTACAATCACACTTCTTCAGCTTACACCTTTGCAAGCCTTTAAGACAGGGCTGTCCTGAAGCAGGTAATCTTAGTCCGGTCATTAACTGGAGCAGGGATCACAGCTCACTATAAGGCATTAACAGCTTTAGCTGCTTCTCATAGGTTTTTACCACCTCATTGTTTTCAAGCCAGGATCCAGAGGAAAGTATTGTTGAGAAAAAGATATTGCTCACCTGTGGAATGCTGCGATGCTCCTCATCTCTGTTGGAAACGTTCTTATGATGAGTGTTGAGGGAGATATGCTTTTTCTGCTTGCTCAGAAAGCAATAATCAGAGGCTCCCTCCAAAAAGAGCAGTAAAAGAGAAAGCCCCACAGGGAGAAGCAACAAAATGGCTTATCTTGGATTAACCAAACCTGTTTGCCAAAAAAAGTTCTTCTTCCTCCCTGACGTGAAATTTCTTTCATCAGAGGTCAACTTTTTTCTACCCCAAGTTCTTTCTTTTCTGTGGTTTTCCTTCATGGCCTGAAGGTGGGGAGAATGACTGCTATTCCCATCAGAGAGCAACTCCATGCCCATGTCTACACCCTGCCCATGAAATCCCCTGAAGTCTCTGGGATGTGCTGATGGGGGTGGCATACTGAGTCTGACCCCCTCTGTCTCACAGCTTGTACACATGCCCCAGCTGAGATTGCAGGGACACTCACCTGGTACAGATACAAAAATGCTCCACCTTATAGAGGATATTTGTATTTGGTGATAAAAAAAGGGAACATGCTGCAGATTCCTGCAAGATAGATGCAGGCTTTCCTCGTGCCACCTGGAATAACTGACTGAAAAACAGATCTAAGACAGGGCACATACTGTAAGCTAGGGGGGGTTGTCTCTTGATTTCTCATGCCTTTCTAATCCTTCGGGTCCTTTAAGATAGAAAAAACATGATCACAGTTGAGTTTGACTCCAGCTTTCAAAGCACTAACAGCAACAGAGTGAGCTAAGAAACGAATCAAAGCAAGTCTGGCTGTCTGAAAATAAACTCCCCAGCATAATAAGCTTCTTTCCCTCTGCCCCAGCAACATAGGAATACTTAAATAACTTGCTTATTCACACACTCCAAAAGGCTGCAGAGCTCCCAGGTGGCAAAGCAGGAGGTTCCCCTTCTAAAAAGTGGACAGACACACAGCACACCTGGAGAGTCCGTCTCTCTGCACAACAGAGGAAGTCGTTTGCACTTGCTGGTTTTGGGGTGTGCATCTTCCTTGGGAGATGTACCCAGGGAGCTGGAAGGATAAGCATCCCTCCGACTTTGCAGCAGCAGTAGGCTGGTGTTCGCTTGCAGCGGTTATTGCCGGTTGGGTGACTACATTGTTTGCTTCTGCCCTCAGAGTCAACAGTGAGGCTCAGGAACGGGCAAAACGCCAGCGTATTCCCAGGGAAGGTTACGTCATTGCCAGCTCACTGGTGCCAGACACTGTGCTGGAAACCTGAGGTCGCTTTTTGCCACTAATTGTCCAGATGATTTATTCATTCAATGATATCATTTTCTTGGGTGGAGGTTAGGAGGTTATGTACTCTAGTAATGAGAGGCACGATGGGATGCAAAACTCGTGCTCCTTATTGATGTTAACACTAATTACAACAAACAACAAACTAACCACTGCATCCTCTGTATCACCCTTCCTCCCCTAGAAAGGGTACCATTTGTTTCTTTTTTTTTTTGGAGGGGGGAGATGGTGACATGTCATGTGTGAGCAAGTGCTCTTATGGGATTTGAGTGCCCTTAACTTTCATAACTATTCCGTAATAAGGATTTTTGCTTTCATTATTTTAAAATAATTGTTTTATTTATGTCATTTACATTGCACTTTCCAGCAATCCCTCCTAAAAAAAAAAAAAAAAAAGGAAAGAAGAAGTGAGTTTGTTTTTTATTGCACAGTGGCTGGTGTGTTGTATTGTGGTGTTCTCCCCTCAAAGGATGCTGCTCTGTCTATACGAGTGTAGGATCACTTCTCAGTCAAACTGGAAATTCTCCAGTGTCAGGTTTTTCGGTAGATACTCTAGGATATTTCATTCTTTTTTGACATTTTTAGGCTAAAAATCGCATTCCTACCTCTTTAATAGCTAAGCAAACAAGCCTAGAATTCCCAGATGGGCATAACAAAAAGCTTCCCTGGCCCAGATGCAATTAATAGCTGATAAAGTTGCAGCAACTTGATCTGATAATCTTTTGGTAGGTGAAACTGATAACTCCAAATGTTGAACAAACCACCCAGGGCATTTTCAGAGCTGTTGTAAGAGCATTTTCTGTCAAACAACGTCACTTCTTTGCCCTCCCCCTCCCTCACCCCAGGTTGTTCTTCTCCCCTCAGGCCTCTGTGGTTTTGGCTGGCTTGTGTCCCCAGAGGTGTACAAAGCCCTGGATCATAAGTTTTCAAACAGCCTGGTGAGATGACTTGGAAACCTTCCAGTTTTATATGTGCCTTGTATTTATGGGATAAAATGGTTTCCTTTCTGTTTAAGCAGTGGGGAAGCCATACCCTCTCTCCATTCTGGATAATTTTTCACTTCTTCTCATCCTTTGTGGTCTGCTGTGGTATTCTCCTACCTCATCTAGAGATTTGAAAATGTCAAGGAGCTTTTTTGAATGCTGACAAATAGCAGAGATTTGATTAGCAATTGTAGCAGATCATTTACCAGTCCAGCACTGTAGACTCATATATATTTATAATACAGATATCAAGGAAAATTAAGTGATTATGCAGAACTAATGAGGTCTGTATTAATGGCTATCATGTTCCAGACACTCATCTATTGTCTGTTTAATGAGGAATAATCCTACTGTGTCTGGGCAGATCAAATGCTGAAACAAGGGTGCTGAATGACTTTGATGCCCTTAGCAGATTATACTAGCCACAGGAAAGGTGCCTAGGGCATGTGCTTGTAATTTAGACCTTGCTCATAAAGGGGAAAAAATAATGAGATGGCCTTGGAAAAGCAGGAGGAAGGATCTGTGATGTGGCCTTTCAGTGGAAATGATCTTTTATTCTGATGGCAGCCCTCCATTGCAAAGGGGTGAATTCTACATTGCCACCAGAGTGACATGAAGGGCAGAAAAAGATTGTCTCCTTCCCAGGATAGTCTGTGATGGGCTGGCATGGCAGGCAGTGGGAGAAAAAAGTGGATTGGATGGGGTAGGAAAGACCCCTTTTCTAGGCTTCCTGAAACTGGGAATATTGCCTTCAAATAACTTCCGAGAGAGTAACTCCAGTAGTTTTTAAAGGTACATTAAATTTTGCTGTAAACTGTCAGACTGGGCTATGAACAAGGCAGACAATTGCTGTACTGTACCGTACTCCAGTCTGAAGAACACCAACAGTGTTATTTTCCTATGCCTTGGAAAAAGACATCAGAGTGCACGTTACAGAGAGGAAAATGGTAGGACTGGAGAGCCTGGTGAAGAGCTGTACAAAGTAAGAGAGAGGGGTGCACCTATTGTTTTGAAGAAGAAAGTTTTGGTTTTGCCAAACTTTATGAGGTTTGGCCAATTCATTTCCCGCACTCAGCATGTGCCAGAGCCAGCACTTCTTCCCTGTATATTTGAACTGGGAACCATGGAAAAGCATTGGCTTCCTTACTTCATCTCATATAAAGGAGCAAACACACACATACCAACTTCTTTTAAAATATGGCAACCAGTGTCTTCAGCAAGGTCTTCATGGTTTAAAATGGTTATTTGTTGAGCTCCCTTGAATGTAAAATTGTTCTATCCCAAGCCCTACATTTTAGTTTACAATTTCGTTTTAATTGACAATGGCACAAACACAGAAGGATATAGTTTTTTAAGTTGCTGGTTCTAGACCTTGGGAACCACAGAACCATTTAAGAAAGAATACTGATAAGTCACTTTTTAGTAAAAGTGATAGCTAAAGCCGTTCACATTATTTGGAGTCAAATAGGCAGTTTACTGATTGCCTTCCAAGTGAATGGAGAAAGTCCTACTTGTATGCAACTCAGGACTTCCAAACTTGGCAGAAAAAAACAGCCAGAAATGTTTACATCATATCTCTTGTGTAGCCAA